GGGTTTTTAAAATCCTTTTTTTTTTTTTTTTTTTTTAAGCTGTTTTGGCTTTTCACATCTACCTTCTGTGAAGGGAGGGTGTGGTATAGACTTAACAAGAGGCTACTGAGACCTTTTATGTCTGGTGTGTGAGGTCAGATCCAAGCTGCTGGGAGTTGGGGATTAAATTCAGCGTCCTAACCGCTCCTCTGCTGGTGACAGGCGCATGAGCTCGGACAAACCACCAGAAACATTGCTTCTGCGTCTCCTCATCTGAGAAACACTGAGGCCTAGTTCCAGTGATGTGTGATTTCTCCTGGGGGGGGACAACTTTCAGTTTCTAAAGACCAGTTTGAAAGATGAAGCATTTATATTTTAAAAATCCCTTATAAATGCTTATGATTTCAACAGACCAGTATTTTGTGTCATTAATGTTAGTCTAGAGCTGTGTCTTCTCCGTTTCCTCTGTACTTTGCCTTAAGAGAGGACTAGGCCCTTTTCCGGCGGTCTTGATCACTCAGGCAGTTCCTCCTCTGTCCAGCCCTGCAGTCCGCTGTGTCGTGTGGCGCCCTCTTTAGCCTAGGTGCAGGCCGAGCCCTGTTTACTTGATGTTGACGGGAATGACTCCTTAGGTTCTATTCAATAATCGCTTCTCCTTTTTTCTTTCTCAACACCATTTCACCAGCGCTGACGGCTTCCTTTGCCTTCAATTCTGTCTTTATCAGTTCCAGAAGCGATGGGGAGATAAGACTTGTTTGAGTAGTTCGTGTGCGTGGAAGGGGAAGAGGCAAAGCGAGGCTTAAATTCATAAAAAACTTTTAACTATTCAACTGTCAGCCTTAGTGGCCTAAATCGGATGCATCTGAGGATTAAAGTGGTCTTTCCTCCTGGAGTCCTAAGAGCACATCACCTCGTCTGTTTAACTGCAGTCGCCATAAAAGTGCTAGATCTGAGTTTCTTTAAAATGTTTGCTTCATGGTCCCCTTGAGCAGTCGAAACTAGAGCCTGTTGTCTCCGATATTTTGGATCGCCTCAAACACTGGCATCTGTTTTTATGTGTGTGTTTTCCTTGACTGAGGTTCTGAATTCAAACAATGAGTGATCATCCTAATGACATCTTCTCATCTTGTAGATGTACAACGCTACGTGAACTTAATTTGGTATTTAATTGGCACTTGTGTGTCTGTGCTTTGTGAAATGTTTTCAGAGCTGCAAATGCAGTCATTGTTCATTTCCTGCATTTTCTTCCCTGCAGATGATTCAGTGAAAGTGAAGGATGAATACAGTGAAGGAGAGGGGAATGTTTTAAAGCCAGAGCCCATGGGCACTGTGGAGGAGCCTGAAATTCCTTACAGCTATGCAAGAGAATATAACGAGTATGAAAACATCAAGCTGGAGAGACACGCTGCCTCCTACGACAGCGGGAGACCAGGCAGTGGCAAGATGAACTGCGACGTGTGTGGCTTGTCCTGCGTGAGCTTCAACGTCTTAATGGTCCACAAGCGGAGCCATACTGGTAAAGAGCCTTCTTCTGCCCTCTTCCGAGAGCTGTCTGCGGCCATAGAGGAACGAGTGGGCGGGTAGCTTGGATTACTTCCTTTGGCCTTTGCTGTAATTCCCATGTGTCTCCCTCACTGCCTTGCCATGTATCCAGTAATTCGGCAAACGCTGTGAATGAAGACAGACAAGAGCTGAGTGTTCTAGGTCAGCCAAATGGTTTTTCTTCACTTAATAAGTAGGAGTTGCACTGTGTGATTTGTTTCTTAGCTATCTCCGTGTCTGTGTGTGTTTTTTGTTTTTTGTTTTTGTTTTTGGTACCAGGGATCGAACTTGGGTCCTTGGGCTTGGGAGGCAGGTGGTAGAACCACTGAGCTCAATCCCCGGCCCGTCTCTGTGTATTTTGCGATAACACTTTTAATAAAAGGAGATCTCCTTACTGTATTGGGTTCAGATTCGGTGAGATGAAAGGTCATAGTTTTTATCTCCAGCTTTAAGGACAGTATCTCCAGACAGTGGCCAGACAATCTATAGGAAAACCTGTGAACAACAGTGCCCTGGACCCAGTAGATTGTGTCTGACAACCAACCTGAAGTCTAAAAGGAGGCATTTGTGGCCCTCTGCACCTTACTGGGACTTGAGTCTATGAGTCTTTTCAAAGGCGATTATATTTAAGAAGAATGTTAAGTAATATGAAAACTCATGTCTAGAAAGCTATCCTAAAGCTGAGCATGGTTGTGCAAGCCTGTAAACCCAGCACTCGGGAGGCTGAGGCAGGAGGATCACCGTGAGTTCGAGGACAGCCTAGGCCACACAGTGAGTTCGAGGCTGGTCTAAACTACAAACTACGTGGTGAGACCCTGCCTCAAAAAACAAAACAAAACAGAAAAGCTGTCCTAGAACTACTCGAGTGTCTCTGCTGATTCAAGATGAGACAAACCTAGGAGAGTCTCAGTGGATGGGAGGGTTTTGTCTTTTGGAGGGAAGATTCCAGAAGGGAGTCTCACACGGGCCTGGAAATGCAGCATGGACAGAGTGGTCCACGGGCGTCTACTCTGTGCCTCTGCTTTGCACTTGCTGGTGACCAGAAGTCTCCTCTCTTGTCCTCTTTCAAGGTGAACGCCCATTCCAGTGTAATCAGTGTGGGGCATCCTTTACGCAGAAAGGCAACCTCCTGCGCCACATTAAGCTGCACACGGGGGAAAAGCCTTTCAAGTGTCACCTCTGCAGCTACGCCTGCCAAAGGAGGGACGCGCTCACAGGACACCTGAGGACGCACTCAGGTAAGTGAGGGCCAACCATGCAGGGCGGGCCTGGAAAAGTCAGAGTCAAGCGCGAGCCGCAGAGCCTCGAATCCGCCACTGCCATTCTGAGGGGTGGCAGCAGCAGAGACCTCTAGGGCTAACTGCACTTCCATTAAGGCATTAATTGCGCTCTGTCTGCCTCAGCGGCAGCGTCACTCAGCTCTGCACAGCCTCACACCCCTGGAGGGCGGCAGCCAGACAGGAAGAACCTGCCCTCCAAAAATGCTTTTGTAGTTTTTGCAAGAAAATGATAGCCACTGCTGTGTTTCTCCTGGTAAATTTTATTAAAAGATTATCCTACACACACACACACACACACACACACACACACACACACACACACACTTTCCATTCAGAGCCCTGGACAAGTAAATGATGCATAGTTTTGTAAACTACAAAAAACAGCACATCAGGTATAAGCCATTGTTTGGAGGTGCTTTTTGGCCATTCCTGGCAAAACTTTTTAAACCCAGCTTTCCTCTTACTTATGTCTACTTACTTTAAATCTCTAGAAAATGCACCACAATGAGAATTCATAAAGAGCCATGCGCCCTCTTGATGTTTTTTACTCCTTATTTTGAACAACCAAGACAGTGCAAATTTTTTTCAACCTTTAGAATTTCCTTCTTAGAAAAATAAGAGTGGTTTATTTTCAAATTTGGGACCTCATGTTCTTGATGTTATCAGACAAAATTTTAATTGAAAAAAAAAAGTGTGCTTTTATGTCAATCTACATGTACTGCTTTGACTAAAACCCCAGCCTCAGTCTTGAAACTGGTCACAGTTCGGAGACTAGGATTAAATAAGTCAACCCCAACCAAAGCCACCATGGGAGATCCTACGTGGCCAAGATTGGGTTTTTTCTTATGTGTCTCATTTTTCAAAGTAACAAATTAAAGATGAGTTTTCTCAAAAAAGAAAAAAAAAGATTAGGATGGGGATTTAGCTCAGTGGTTCCGCCACCTGCCTCGCAAGAGCAAGGACCCAAGTTCCATCCCGGGTACCAAAAAACAACAAAAAAAAAAAATTAGAATAGTTATCTTCTGTTATGTTTTTTAAAGTAAGAAACAACAATAATAGGGTTTTTAAAGACAGATTCAAGGGGACCTCAATTTGTGTAGAAATTAAACATGTTTTGCCCTAGAAACCTGCATTTTATTTTATTTTGGAATTGTATAAGGATCTTTTAGTATTATAAATCCCAAGACCTCTATTTTAAAAGAGCAAAAGGACTTAGAAAATGAGTACTTGGGGGCCGGGCACAGGCCTGAGTTGATCCACCACTGAAAAAAAGAAAGAAATAGAAATTTCAGTTTCTAAAACTCTGAAAAATTCTTAGGGCATATTTTACCAACAAATCAGGCAAGCCGATCTTGCATAAAGCACAGAGGTTGTTACTTATGTATTTCAAGGAATAAGTATTTGGGGTGAGTTGGAAAGCTGGAGTCACCTGAATTATGTGGGTGAACTTTTGAGGAAACGTATGCCTCACTTAAGTAAAGTCACTTCTGTGATTTATTCTTCATTCTGTTGTTCAAAAATACCCTCGATTAGCTCAGGTCGGATTGCGTTAGCCGAGTTTATGCAGCCCCCTGACCAGGGTGCGATAGATTTTTCCAATCCTAGCCAGATGCCTGCCTGACAGAGCAGCCTGGCAGGCGGTGTGGACGGACGGGCCCCAGTGGCCACCTGTGGGGAGACAGGGAAGCCTCAGGGTCGCTCAGTGTCCCCTGCTCTCCTTCCAGTGGAGAAACCCTACAAATGCGAGTTTTGCGGGAGGAGCTACAAGCAGAGAAGTTCCCTGGAGGAGCACAAGGAGCGCTGCCGCACTTTTCTCCAGAGCTCCGACCCGGGGGACGCTGGTGAGTGCACAGCTCCTGCTCTGCGAGCGTCTGATGTTCGGCGATAAATGACAAAGCCTTGCCGCCATGGAGTTTGGGGCTCAGCTGGGACAGACTGTAAGCAAAATGAATGGAAGTTTGGGAGGCAGTGAGTGCTACTGAGAAAAATGAAGCGGATGCCGGGGGTGAGGCTGAGTCAGGAGCAGCTTCAGTAACAGACCCAAGGGGTCGAGGGAGGAGTGAGCCCGGCAGACAACTCCAGCACGCGTCCAAAGGCCGGGCTCAAATCTGAAAGTCTTCTAGGGCTGGAGCGCAGTAAGTGACGGGACGTGAGGCCAGAGAGGAGGAGGGAAAGCAGATCGAGTCCTTCACCAAGTCTTTAGACTTGGCTTTTCCTCTGATGAAACTGAAAAAGTTTGGGTTTTGAACACAGTGAGCCGACATCATTGGACTTCTCGTTTGAAAAGAATTACTCTTTTTGCTGCTGAGTAAAGATTGCGTTGAGGGAAAGTTAGAAATCGGGAAGTCCAGTTAGGAGCCCATCATAAGGATTCAAGCAAGAGAAGATTGTCTTGTAGTGGCGAAGATGATGCAGTGTTCTGATTCTATACAGTCAACAGATTATTAACAGAGAGACAGATGATCGATAGACAGACAGACAGACAGACAGACATTAAAGGAAGAGCTGGCAGGACTCCTTAACAGCTGGCTCTGAGGTAGGGTAAGGAATGGAGTTTCCCGCTAACTAAAATGGCAGGCGGCGTGGAAGAGCAGCTGGCTGGGGGATGACCAGGGAACGGCTGGTTAAAGCTACAAGGATTTTCTTTGCAGATTAGATTGTGGAGTTTGATGGAAGCATCTAATCCTTCCTCCTCGTTTGTGCGGGGCCCCCCGTTGTATCCTTATCTGCTCACAATTTGGGGCGGGGTGGGGGCCGGGGTTTGAACCCAGGACTTTCACACTGAGCGATGCTCCAAGCCTTTCTTGAGGCAGAGTCTCGCTGTGTTCCTCAGGCTGGGCTCGAGCTTGGAATCCTCCTCCCACACCCGGCTCTATTTATTTACTGTGACGTTTGTACTTGGCTACGGGGATTTCCTGTTTCGTTCACTGATTTGAATTAGAAGCCTGTTGACCATCGGTAGAAGCCTACATCGATGGTGGCTCTCTTTCCTTCTCCTCCTTCCCTTGGGGCAGCCTGAACCTCTCTGGCGTCTCACCTGCAGTCGTGCTTTGTCCCATCCAGTTGACCAGCAGCCTGGCTCTGCCCCTCGGAGCAGAACCCTTTGCATTTGGTTACGCGCGCCCTTCATCTGTTGGGAACCAGGACTTCGTGTCTGGCAGTGGTGGCTGTAGCTGAATGGGTTGAGCAGCCTAAAGCCAAATACAAAAATACAACAGAAAAAATGTAAATCTCAGGGAAAATGGAGTGGAAACCTTGCGTATTCTAACCCGCTTGGGTGAGAGGAAACTTGCATCAGATAAAGGTCTTTTTATAGCGTCAGGAGCTGGCCAGCCAGATTCCACTGGTTTGTACTGCTTCTGCTGTCACCCTGATGGCAACTTTGGTTTTGACCAAGGAGTTGGATTTCCTCCTTATTTCTAGAGAGTAATGTTTACTCCCTTAAAACAAACAAACAAACAAACAAAACCTCTTTTTCCCCCCTCACCAAGTAGTTCGGGCTGGCCTTGAACTCACTGTGGAGCTCAGGCTGGCCTCAAACTCTTGGTGCTCCTCCTGCCTCAGCCTCCTCCTCCTGCCTCAGCCTCAAAAAAAAAACTTAACCCTAAAACTTGGATTTTTCTCATGCTTAATGTTGGGCAGCATTTGCCCAAGGATGGAATATAGGCATCTTTATTTGCAGTTCTGTATTTCAGATAATAGCCAGAGAACTCACTGTGAAAAGGAAAACCCGTTAGAATCAGCAGTGTTTAAAGTCAAAGAATGAGGGAGAGCATCTGAGCCTACTTGCTCATGTTAGAGCTGAGGAAATGGACACTTGTCAAATTCAATGAGCACCTTTAACAAATACTATAGCTTTAGTGGTTTTGGGAATTTGCCATATTTTAAATTTTGAAATACAATTCATATAGCATAAAATTGACCTTTTTAAAGTATATAATTCACAGCATGTGGTGCTTGTAATTCCAGTAATCTGAGAGGCTGAGGCAGGAGGCTTGCAAGTTCAAACCTAAACCCAAGTGACTTAGTGAGACCCTATCTCAAAATAAAAAGTGCATAAAAGGTCTGGGAATGTAGCTCAGGGTAAAGACCCCAGGTTCAATCCCAGTAATGTAAGAAAAAACGTATACAGTGCGATTGTTTTTAGAATATTTACAAAATTGCACAATGTCACCGCTGCCTAGTTCCAGGACACTTCACCACTCCCAAGGGGACCCCACACCCACTAGCAGTGGCTTCCCACCCCTCCTCCATCCAAGCCCTGGCCTCCATGAACCGCTTCTCTGTCTGCAGGGATTTTCCTACGCTGGACATTTCATACAACGTGGGGCCTTTTAGGACTGGCTCCCTTCACTCAGCATCCATGCTGAAGCACCTGTTAGTGCTCAGTTCCTTTTTACGACCGAATCGTATTCCACTGTATGGATTTACCACGTGCTGCTTATCCATTCATTTGTTAGTGAACATCTGGATTTCCCCCACTTGTTTTGGTTTGATTAGCTGTGTGGCTGTAGGTTCTTTATGATTTGTTTAGCAAAAGAATGAAGGTAACACATACAGACAGACACAGATGTCCCCGTGTGTGTCTCGATTTTCCTAGAGGAGGGAGACCAGTAACGCATGCTTTATACAGAGTATACCTTACTTCCTATGCGCACAACCTTTTCAGGAATTTGAAAATGGGAAAAGTGTCAAGAGGAGTGTTTCAGCTCTCTGCAGTGGTATCAGGTGATTCGGGAAATGCTGAAACAGAGGTTGAGTTAATTTGCATCTCATAGGGTGGTTTGATGGGTGCGTGCAATGCACTTTAGGTCTCAGCAAAAAAAAAACAAAAAAACAAAAAACGAAGGGTTAATCGAGTCAGCAAGTTTTGATTTTTTTTTTAAACAGATGTATTGTAATGGCGGTTTCAGGTGGCAGAACGTGTGAAGTCACAGCTGCATCCAGTCCAAGTACTCAGTGTCAGTGATATATTACTCTTTTGCTTTCGGTCGTTCCCATGGTTTTTCCTGGGATCCAGAATGTAAAGAATGTTTACTCTAAGCCAGTCCTCTGATGGTCAACACCGCTCCCTGCCTGGTTTCCGTTTCCCTTTCCTTCTTAAAACTGGGAGTCCAGGGTGGACGCGGGCCCCATTCTGAGCCTGACGGATGCAGCACCTCTTAGGCCTTCCGCCCTCACTTCCAAGCTGATGGCGGGTTGCCACCGTGGACGGGGGACACAGTGCTCCTGCCTTAGGTGCTGGCTCAGAATGAAGGGAGGGCCGTGTGGGAGCCAAGCCCTGTTGGAGCTGTGGCGCCGGAGGCAGACAGACAGGAAGGCTCAGAGTGAGGACCAGCTCTTTCTTCCCAAGGGCCACGCGGGTGCTGGGCACCGGGACTTCGGGCCTGGATCCCTCTGTCTATTTACACAGCAGTACTGAGCTCTCTGCGTGCCTGGCAGCTGAGCCCCTGCCTTGAACTCACGGGCCGGTAAGACAGTGAAGGACTAAGCGCCGGCCATCAGAATGGAGTCATCAAAATCTTCCGGCTTGTCGTCTTCGTGGCAGATGGATGGGGAGGAAGAGAAAGAGGCAGGAGGCTGTGGACTTCACTTACTCATTAGCTCGATCTTTGTTCTGAAAAGGGACTCACGGCTGGAACAGAGACACAGCTAGCCTCCTTTCACACAAATTCCGAAATCTTGGAGCTGGGCGTATTTTTGTATAACACTGAGTTCCCACAGTCGTAGAGTTTTAAAGTAATTGAACATTTCTGTTTATCTCTGAATCTAGGAGTCACGGCTTTGCATGCTCGTCCTTAGCTAATGCAAGCGTGAGCTTTTCAAGGATAAAGTTAGGTTTTTCCTAACGTAGCAGACCGAACAAAAAGTGTTCAGAATTTCAAGTCTTGGGGCCGGGGATTTAGCTCAGTGGTTCTGCCGGTCCCGAGTTCAATCTCCCGGACCAAAACAAAACAAAACTTCAAGTCTCTTTTCCCAACCAGCATTGCGCACGCAAAAACCATTTCACTTGCTGTTAGATAAGTGTTTTGTTAGAACCTGCCTCGGTCCTTGATAGCAATGGCTTCTTAGTGCACGATAACTGCTCTGTTCCACTCGATGTTAGCTACCGACTGACCACACCATGGGAGAGACGGGAAGCAGCCCTTTTCTTTCCCTTTCTTCTTTTTTTTTAGCAGTGCCTTTTATTTAAGCTCCACTGAACACTCAAGACCTAATGAAAGATACTGCACAGAAACAGGCACAGTATCCGTAAATGTAAAATCGCTTGGAGATGGGGACTACATGTTGGAATCAGTTCCGTGACCGCTCGTAAGGCTTCTGCAGAGTGACCCCTTCCACAATTGTCCTTTTTTCTCTCTCTCTTTTTTTTTTGGTACCAGGGATTGAACTTGGGACCCTGCGCTTGTGAGGCAGATGGCGGAACCACTGAGCCAAATCCCCGACCTCTAATTGTTATTTGAATTGCATTTTAGTGTTTACTTTTCAACATGTCTTTAAACTCACTTTACCAGTGAAAATGGGCACAGCCACTGTAGGGACAGGTGACATAAAGCGAGAGGGATCCAGAATCGCAGCCCCCCCCCCGACTGTGTTCAGTTAAGGACTGAACATGCACATTACTCCTGGCCACCATCCCATGTTCCCCACACCCACCCCTTGCAACATTAAACCGCCAAACACCACCCAGGAACAGATTTCCTATTTCATCATTAAACCCATTATCTTGTTCCCTCACCATCTTGCCAAACTGGTTTCCTCTTCTTACATTTCAGAGGCATCATGTGGCAAGATCAATAAGTCTGGACTCTGTATAAATAGACAGTGGCGAACAGGAGACCACAGCTGGGAGCCCTCCTTTTCAGTTTGTCCAGTGTGCTGCCTAAACTCCTTTCTAATTCCAAAGAGATTGTCCAACTGCAAGCTATTTCTTTGTGTTATAGAGTGCTCAATTCCAGCACTCTGGGAGGCTGAGGCAAGAGGATCTCAAGTTTAATCATAAGCAGGGCGACTTGGCAAGACCCTGTCTTAAAATAAAAAATAATAAAATGGGCTGGGGATATAGCTCATTGTGAAGGCTCTGGATTCAACCCCCAGAACCACCACCACCACCAAAAAATAAAAAATAAAAAGCATTCGTTTAGTGGTTTCATATATCAGTTGTCCAACCATTGTGAGGCAAAGACTTAGCAGTTTGGGAAAGAAAATAAGAGTGCACATAAATCAATCATAAACCAGGCTTTTGTCTAAGTGGCCAGTAGAAAGCGGCGCCACACAGGTGGACGGAGCCAAGCCCAGGTGCCCAGGTACAGCGAGGGCTGGGACGCGTGACACAGACCCTGGGTTCGCGGCAGAGAGTTTCCTGCAGCCTAAGCAGAGCTGTGGAGACGGGAAAGTTTACTCGTGCCTCAGATGGTCCGTCCGCCCGTGAGCACTCGGCATTTTATCCTCTTAAATGTCACTCATTTGGTCACTGATTTAGAGTCAGAGGCGACTGGAAATGACTGTCGGCGGGTGACAGGAACGGGGATGATGTTATCTGGGGAGGCTGCCGTTTGGTGACGTGCCCTAATTACAGTTATTTAGGTCAACGTGTCCACACTCCGGCACCCGCCTGCATGTAGAGGATGTTGGTTACGTGTCCTCAGGAAGCTGCTCGTTGTCACTGAGGGTGACTTTGGTAAAATGTAGGCAGTGACAGCTAAGAGCCAAGTGGGGAGACGAGGCTGGCGGCAGGTTGCCTGGGTAAGTCCTAGACAGCACTTCGGCCCGGCCCGGCCCGGGCGGGCTGTCCGCAGGAGACGGACTGAGACCAGAACAGCGGGGTGGGGGTGAAACTTCCCAGGGCTGCCTGTCCTTGCCATCTCAGGTAGCAGACACAGGAGGGATTGCGGCTGGGCGTGGGTTTAACCCTTTCCGAATGCTCAGATCAGAAGAGATGCGCCTAGCCAGAGCACAGACTTCAACGTCCGTGCCGGCTTCCAAGGAAATAAAGCTCCTAACAGCTTCAGGGACTGACTTCAGATCCTGGACTCTGGCTTTCACCTCTGCTCTGGAGCTTGGGGCAGTGCCACGTCTGCAGGTGGTTTGTGTGAAAGGAGATAATAAATATAATAGTTTCCTGTCCAGTCCTTTAAACCTGTCCCGAACTGGACAGAATTCGCCCTACTTCACTCAGCCGCAGAGCCCTGTCACCAAGGACCCCAAGCCCAGGACTTTGCTACTGGTCCAGCGCTGCCCCTTCCTGTTCTCCGTTTACAGCAGTGAACAGGTTTCCGCTAGAGGCTTGGAGTTCTTTCTCTAAGACCGGGATTGTCTTTGACAAGAAACAAACTTTAGCAAATACTGACATTGTCACCATCCTCTTTTTTTATTCACTTTGGGGGCCAGATTTCCTTTTATTCTTGTATTTTAAAATATAAGACAAACCAGGCACTGCGGCACACACCTGTAAATCCATGCTACCGGGGAGTCTGAGGCAGGAGGAATGCAGTTTCAGGCCAGCTGGGACAGCTTAGTAAGATCCCGCCTCAAAGGGGCTTTAAAAGGGCTGGAGACAGAGCTTAGTGGAAGAGCATCACTGAACTCAACCCCTGGAACAAAAAAACGTAAAGTAAAACATAGAGCGTTATAATGTATTGTATAATGACTGGCATGTGGGTTTTTTATGCTGATGTAAAATTTTTAAAATTAAGACTTTGATTCATGTCTTCCCAATTTGGTTTGGGTTCTTATCCTGTCCTTGCCTGACCAGCTTACCCTAGAGCTCTTCTTCTATTACTCATTTACTGTGAAAGTAGCCAGTTTTCTTTTCTCTAGGAATACCCATTTCTGGTACCTCCTGTCTGACAGACCATGGGATTTGTGACATTATTTCTGTGCATCAGAACCTCTCTCTCTCTCTCTCTCTCTCTCTCACCGGGCTACATAGTGGTGAGACCGTGTCTCGGAAAAAAAAAAAAAAAGAGAGAGAGAGAAAAGAAAAGAATCTCTCTCTCTCTTTGTTTGTTTTTTTTTTTTTTGGTTTTGAGGCAAGGTCTCACTGTGTAGCCCAGGCTGGCCTTGAACTCACAGTGATCCTCCTGCCTCAGCCTCCTGAGTGCTGGGATGACAGGCGTGTGCCACCATGCCCGGCACAGAATCTCTTCACACAGCAGATGTGTCATATTCTTCCATTACAGAATGAGTTCTGCCACCTCCCAAACCTCTGCATATATTTTTGGGGAAAAAATCTCTCCTGCAGTCACCACTTGCTTTTCACTCCAGTCCCCTAGTTTCCATGTCTTCTTCCTAAAAACATTAGAAATACATGGGCTGGGGATTTCGCTCAGTGGTGCTGCCACCTGCTGCACAAGCTCAAGGTTCTGAGTTCGATCCATGGTACCAAAACAAAACCAAAAACAACAAAAAAAGAAATACATGGTGACTTCACTCCAGTTTGGACTTCCTGAAGTGCTCAGACAAAGCCGAGAGAAATGTCCACAGCACCACAATGTTTGCTTTGGGGAGGGGCAGGACCACGGCCTTTGGGCCAAATGGAGGCACAGCCTGTTTGTGTACAGGGACGTCTACGTTTTCAAAGGGATGTGGGGCAGAAAACACACACACAATATATGACGAAGGACATGTGGCCCACCAGGTTTGAAGTATTTAAATTTACCGTCTGGCTTTTTGGTGAAAGCGTTTGCTGGTCCTAGGCTTAGGCGGTGTCGCGCGTGCAGGTTTGAAGGGTGATATTCACAGCACGTGGCATCTGTGCGCTCCAGACATGAGGTCTTATTGGGCCCTGCTTGCTGTGTACCAAGGTAAACTCTGCGTCTTCCAAGGTACTCTCTTCGTAGACTGCCACTACCCATATACTCTTCCGGTAGTTTGCAATCCTGGCTGCATGGTTTTTGTTTTTGGGGGGGTTTTTTGTTTGTTTTGTTTTTTACTGGGGATTGAACTCAGGACCTTGCGTTTGAAAGGCAGGCATGGTGCCACTGAGCTACATCTCCGGCCCTCCTGGCTGTATTTTTAAGTCATCTTGGGAAGTTGGAAAATACTGATGCCCAGGCTTTTCTTCCCGAGAGCCCAAATGCACCATGCGAGGGCCTGGGTGTGGTGTTTCAGGCCACCCTACCTGGGCAGCCAAGCCTGAGAACACGGCCTGCCCTGCTCGAAGTTCTCTTCCCAGAAAGACCGTGAGCCCATCTTCTCAGGCAGTTTTGATTCACATTTTTCATTAGAAATACGATAAAATTGGTGACGCCAAGTTTTCTTCAGTTTCAACAGTGTGGCCCAGGGAAATTTTAACAGAGATGTGAAGAGCGTATGAAACAGACCACGCAGGGCCCAGAGAGGCAGAGTGTGAAAGATAGGAACAGAGAGGAGCGTGCTAAAAAGAGGGAAAAAAACCACTCAGAATTTCAATACACAAATCACTGAGTAGATGTCTTGCTATCAGAGTGAGTGTGTCTATTTTCAAAAGTGCTGTTAACATAAACAGAGCAGTAAATCTGGGGCAGTGTGCTTTTTTTCAGAGTTGTTAAGAGGAATTATGTCAGTGTGCAGGTGTTACATGCAGTTACTCAGAATCAGAAAGAAGGCTGAGGGGGTTAGAAGATCTCCGTCTATTTATCTTTTTGCAACCAACCACGTCCAGCCGGTTTCTTCAAAACTTCCTCTTGCTAATGAAAGGCACTGGCTGGGGATGGGCTGGGCTTTCCCATCTCAGCATAAGACTGCAAGATCTGAGTGTGCCCGGTGTGGCCCCGCTGGCCACGGCAGGAGCCCGGGACGGGGACCTGAGCTGTAATAGCAGGTGATGGTAGCAGACCTTGCATCCCGCTCCTCTGGGCCCATCTCCTTTGCTCCTCCTTTACCAACGTGTTCTTTTTTTCCTCTTCTTTTTCTGTTTTTCCAAAGCAGCAAGTGCGGAGGCAAGACACCTCAAAGCAGAGATGGGAAGTGAAAGAGCCCTCGTTCTGGACAGATTAGCAAGCAATGTGGCAAAACGAAAGAGCTCAATGCCTCAGAAATTCATTGGTAAGAGCACAGACCTCCCCGCCTTGTTAGCAGATAGTTTGAATGAGATAAGTGGAGATGCTGGCTGTGGGCCCTGCCTTGCTCAGCCTCCGTTAAAGCGAAGCAGTTAGTTTCCATTGTGCGCTTTTGTTCTTTGTGGTTCATTTTGCGAGCGCTCGCAAAGAGAGTAAGCAGTCTTAACCAAAGACTTCACAGCAGAAATGGGAGCATTGGGTTCCCAGTTTCCTACGTGGACACGGTGTTCAGAATGCTGTCCCTTCCCCTTCGCGCTGAATGATTCGTGTTTATGCAACTCTTACTTACAGTCGGAGGCCCAAGATAGCACCTTCGAGACCTTTAGTAATTATGTCACCGATCGGTTCTGGTAGCACGCTTGATCTTCCTACTCTAAAACTCACGGCCACATCTTCTTGAATTGGAGATTTCATTTTAATGGAAAATGGGCGCGCGTCTAAATAACATGGTTTGATTTAATCGTTTGTCTGCTTGAAATTAATTTTCATGCCATTGGTTTTCACATTGTCAAAAACTACAGCAGAACAAGATGACTAAGAAGTAATTATGTTCATTAAAGTGTTAGGACTCCCAAATGACAAGGATGTTTTGCTGAGTCCTCCCAGATGTTTACATGCGTGCAACCATGACATTTAAAATAGATCTGTAGTTGGGAACTAGACAGCTGAGTGGAATGTATCAGTTTTATTACAAATTGCAAGCTGGTGATATTGAACAAAAATAGCTATCGCATAAAAATAGACCTGTCTCAATGTCTTCGGAACCTGTCAATATTGTTTTCTAATGCTGCTTGCTGCTATTGATGTCATACTTTGGTTTTATTTTCTGTTTATTCTTTTCAGTAGCTTTTGTGGAGCCTGCATGCCTGCCTGCCTGGTTTTTAAATCTGGCTAAATTTGGTTCTGGTCCACATCATGTTTCTACAAGCAGACATTCTGTGTGAATTATAGGGACTATAGAAAGAACCCAGGCCAGGGATGTAGCTCAGTGGCACCGTGCCTGCCTTGCAAGCGTAAGGTCCTGAGTTCGATCCCTGGTACTGAAAAAAGAAAAGACAGAACCCATAGATTTCAAAAATCCCTAATTTAGTATTTCTTATTTATTTTTACTAGGTGAAGGCTTTGTATACTTTGAATCACTCTAGGAATGAGTGGTGTCACATGAAAGCTTGGGTACTCCAGCTTAGAGACTTCCATCCTCAGGGTGAGAAACGTCGGGGGCGTAAGGTGGCTTCCTAAGGAGGTCAAGCACAGGGGCCTGAAAGTGATTCGAGACTTATCTGGAAATGTTGCCTGAGTACCCTTTGACGTTTACTTATGTGAAGAGACTCCGACTGGAATACAAAAGAAAGCTTGGATTGGTATTTTACGCCATAAATGCGTTTTGATTTGGGGGAAGTTTTGATTCTAGAAATGGCTCAAGCTGATCTGGGGAGGGTTTGAGAGAGAGAGGCAAGGCAAACCACCTGAAGGGTCTTCACTTCACCCCAGTGTGGGTCCATGAACTCTGCTCTGGAGAACTTAAGTTTGAGAGCGAGTACCTCCTTCTCAGAGCTGCCCTAAAGCTGTAGTCACTGTCACAGAGGCTGCTGTGTGTGGGGCTGTCATGGGTGAGCAGAACACGAGCACGTCCGCGTGGTCGTGGTCTGTGTGGCCGAGCCTGTCACCGCGGGGTCCATCCCAGGCGCGCGCTCTGCTTTCACCTCCACCACAGACCTGGTGGGCCGGGTGGCCTGGGCGCCCGGTCTCACGCGTCTCCTGAGCTGTGGCGTTCAGGGTGAGTGCTTGGTGTGAGCTGAGGTAGCAGCCTCAGGGCTTCGGGGCCCAGAGGAAGTGAGGCCCTCTTCTCTCGTTGGTAAACTGGGTTCCAGTACGAGGAGCACCAGGCTGGAAGCCCAGAGACCTGGGCTCTGTGGTAGCTCTCGTTCCTTAACGGTGCGTGTTTAGATGACGCTCGTCACCTTCCTGACCTCTCTGTGTGCTCACCTGTGAAGCCGGGAGGCTTGGTAGGCAGGGAGGTGACCGGGAAGCCCCCCCAAGCCGTAGCACCTCGGTGACATCAGGTAGAAAAGAAACCTAAGGCAGTGATTATGAACACACTTCGGCTCAAAGGCCTGCGTGTAACTTTGGTAACTCTTCTCGTCTCTGAAGATGGGGTGTTCATGTCAACCTTTATGGTCTGTTTTCAGGTGAGTTTCTTGGTTTGGCTTGTCACGTTTATTTGCTGGAGTCAAATCGGGGCCTCACGCGTGTTGTCAAGCGCTCCACCCCGCCCTTTGGGCTGCTTGTGAGGAAGATGTTACCAGGTCCGAGACTCTGGAATAAAGTTGCATCACTTTACCGTTTGAGAATCTCCCTCAGGGCAGCCCTCTCCCCTCAGCCGGCGCCCACTCCTGCGCCATGCATCCGGGCAGAGCCCCTGGCAGAGTCTGGCTCCTGGGCACCCTTCAGGCACCCAGCACCAACCCTTGCCCTGATCCTGCATCTGCCTCTCTGGGTCACGGAGCCTGGCCAGCCCTTGTGATGGAAGGGGCAGTACTGTCGAGGGGAGAGAAGGTCTGCCGTGGCGAAACAGCGGGGCTGTGCTCCGTCCTCTTCCCTTCCCTCTCCTCATCTCTCTCCTGCATTTCCTCTCCAAGGCGCCATTTTCTGAAAAGGCTCAGCAGCCGGGGACATAGAAACGGGTGAGGTGCGAAGGAAGAGTCTTTCCTGAATCTGTGCTGATCGCTGCACAGCACACAGACCAAGCTTGGCCTCCCCGACCTCTTGAACTTTGAGGGTAGAGATGAAACTGGATCCCTAGCTCGGCCTGCTGCTCTCCGGCAGGCTGGAGAAGACTTCCGGGAGGGAATGGGTTCCATCCAGTAGTGATGAGGCAGGGAGAAGGGACAGAGCAGAACAGTTCTGCCAAAAAAATAACAGTAAAACTGCCCAAGTAGGAGGAAGATCAAATAGTTCTAATGCTTCAAGAACTTTTGGGGTGTGGTAGCGCACACCTATAATTCCAGCACTCGGGAGGCTGAGGCAGGAGGGTTGCCAACAGTTGGAGTCCAGCCTGGGCTACAGAGTAAGTTCTAGGCAGGCCTGGGCTATATAGCAAGACCCTGTCGCAAAAACATTTTTTGGTATTGTTTTGTGTCAATGGGCAATCAACTTATGCACATCCCCCAGCATTGTATGGAGTCCAGACAATTTAGTTCTTCCCAAAAGAAAAACAGAACTCACTTTTAGCCGGGCGTGGTGGTGCACACCTGTCATCCCAGCACTCAGGAGGCTGAGGCAGGAGGATCGCTGTGAGTTCAAGACCAGCCCAGGCTACATAGTGAGTTCCAGGTCAGTCTCGACTACACAGTGAGACCCTGTCTCAAAAAACCAGAATTCACGTCTAGCACCCTGGCCCTCTCAGGCCTTGCCTTTCTCCTCGGAAGAAAAACAGCTCACTTTTATAGCCGCGTGGTGGTGCACACCTGTCATCCCAGCACTCAGGAGGCTGAGGCAGGAGGATCGCTGTGAGTTCAAGACCAGCCCAGGCTACATAGTGAGTTCCAGGTCAGTCTCGACTACACAGTGAGACCCTGTCTCAAAAAACCAGAATTCACGTCTAGCACCCTGGCCCTCTCAGGCCTTGCCTTTCTCCTCGGCCTCCTGTCCTGGTAGAAGCTGTGCAGCTGTCCTTCGGCTTAGGCTGGGCTGATTTCCCTCGCTGAAGGAGGAGGAAACGTGAGCACGTGCCTGTATTTTCTCCTTCCTGGTTTCCATTCTTTCCCCCAGGCGTGATTCAGAGCAAAGTTTTTACCATAGCATCTTATTTTTGTTAAAGCTTGTGTGTTACTTTATTAAAGAAAGTTTTCATGTTGAAAACAGCATGAGGGCCGGGGATTTAGCTCAGTGATTCCAATGCCTGCCTTGCAAGTGCAAGGACCGGAGCTTGATCCCCGGTACCAAAAAAAAAAAAAAAAAAAAAAGATCTCCCTCACCCATGGCAAACAGTTGCTGAGTGAGGTTTTGACACTTGAGCAAACATGGCCACTTCTCCCCTGTGAAACAGCGAGTGGGAAGTCACCTGCTTTGGCTAACAGAGCAACAGGAAGCAGGGCTAGGACCTGCGCCTCTCCCGCCCTCTCCCCAGGCTCCCTGTGCCCATCCCTGTAAGCTGCCCAGGGTCATTGCATTTCCCAGGAACCTCCAGGGCCAGAGTGCTGCGGGGACACAGCAGGCCGTGACCACAGGGCCACACCTGCAGCCCCAGCCTTCCTTCCCCTGGTCACAGAGCGGGAAGCTGAAAGTATGGGAGGGAAGCCCTGAAGGACGCAGTCGCCCTGTCCCAAGGGTTTGCCTCCTAGAGAAAAGGAAAGTCCTCCCCGCACGCCCTGAGGGCAGGGACAGCCAGGCAGTGCTGCAGGGTCCCACGGGGCACAAAAGGCATCTGCAGCAGCTGCAAATGCGGCCCCTGGCTCAGGGTCCTCACTGTGCCTCCTTCCTGGGTGTCCGTCTCTGCTGTCCCCTCCTGCAAGGAGCCTTCGTGAGTTTGGTTCACTTAGGGGGAGGCCAGAGCCATTTCTCCTCCTTCCCTGCTTCTGGGTATGCGCTGGCAGTGCGGGGAAGCGATAACACCTGTGGGAAATTTAAGAAATAGCAGCAAACATATTCAGGTGACCTGAGAAACTTAGACTTCAAGAAAGCCTGACCGTTTCCCATCACCCCATCGTGGTGACCGTAACACTGGACCTGTGTTGTTTTTCCAGAGGTCAGTTCATTTTGCCTCCCTCTCCCAGAAAGCCTCTCCACGGTTCCCCAGTGGAATAAAATGGAAACCACTTGGTCCAGTTGCCCCTGGCTTCCCGCTTTCTGCTTGCTCACCTGCCTCCTCATCTCAGCCAGCTGCTCTGCTCACGCTGCGTCTTCCCCACTTCTGTGCAGTGTTTGTTTGTTTGTTTGTTTTTGAGACAGGGTCTCACTATGTAGTTGAGACTGACCAAGAACTCGCTATGTAGCCCAGGCTGGTCTCGAACTCGCAGCCATCCTCCTGCCTCAGCCTCCCGAGTGCTGGGATGACAGGTGTGCGCCACCACGCCCGGCCTTGAGCAGTGGTTGCTGCAAACCCTGGATCTGACATCCCCCTCACACAGCTGAGAAGGTGTGCACCGGCCCCATGCCTGCCCCTCGGCCCCTCTGCCCGCCTGCTCCCTGCCACAGACAAACCCATCTCCACCTCTCTCACCACCACGAGGCCAAGCCAGCTTCACTCAGAGCACTGGGGAGGGGTCCACAGCCTCCTCCTTCCACCCTCTCGGCTGCTCTGTTCTACCGTGAGGGCCCAGCTTGCAGCGAGATGGCATGAAACGCTCAGTCCCCACGTTTGCATTCCTGGAGCAGACACTAACAGTAGCAATCAGGTCTTCCTTGCAGTGCTCACCACCAGGCACTCTGTCTCAGGCGCTCTCAGAAGCCACAGCTCCTTGCTTCATAAAGACTTCTTGCCAGAATCAGCAGCCACACCTGTCTGCACCTACTGGGGAGACGGAGGCAGAGGAGCATAGGTTCAAGGCCAGCCTGGCAACTTAGACAGACCCTGTCTCAAATAAAATTTTAAAATGAATTAGAGGTGTAGCTCAGTGGTAGAGCACTTGCCTAGCATGTGTGAGGCCCCCAGCGCCACACACACACACACACACACACACACACACACACACACACACCCCTTGAGTGCATTTGGAAGAAAAAAACCCGCTTGCTGCACTCAGCCCCTCCTCCCCGCCCTGGGGACAGCCCCAGCCCAGCATCTGAAGTCACTGCCATGGTGGGGCCGGGCTGCCACCAGCAGACGGCCTCCAGGAAGCAGCAGTGAAGGCACAGCCAGCAGCTGCTCAGACAGGTGGGCGCTGGGGCTCACGTCCTACTCCAGTCACCAGCGGGCGGCCTGGACAGGGACCGCACCTGTCCCGTCAGCCTGGGCTCCTCACCTGGGTGAGAGAGACAATCGTCCCCTGTGAGGTGTAGCCCCAACAGGACGGGCCCTGTGCGCAGTCCTGGCAGACGCAAGGCCTCACATTATAGAGCCGCCGGGGGCCTAGGGGTCGGCAGTCGGTGGGGCAGGTGGATCGTGACCCTGACCCTGGAGATGGAGCTGCACGAGCTCAGTCTGATTCTGTCCTTCCAAGGCGGCACTTGAGAGCCCTCAGCTCATACACTGCGCTGCTTCCGGCCAGGTGGGCGCTCGGCCACCAGAGCCTGGACACGAGAGAGATGGCCAGCGAGGGAAGGGCTCGACCGGGCGGCCCGGCTCCTAACTTCGTGCAGGCTGCTGCCGTTGAGTTCTCTTTGGAAGAAAACCTCTACTCGGCCTGAAGCTGGTACAGTGACTCACTCAAAGGCGTGGTACGAGTTTAACAAGAAGCTGGACCCGAGGCTCTGAGCAGCTTTGGGAGCAGTTACCCACTTCTGGTTTTGACTAACCTTCTTTATGAGTATGTTACTAAAGAAACGTGAGCTGCTGGCTTTTCAATTACTGTAGCTCACTCCCTCTGAGTTTCACACACACTGAGTCATCGTGTGTACAGGTGACTGATAACCATCTCCACTGCTCAAGTTACCGTAACTCAGCGCCAGGGATCTGGGCCCGCAGGCCGCGAGCACACGGAGTCCTGCCAGCGGGCTCGGATGCGACCTCCACTCAGGCTCTTCCTGCTCTAGTGCCCCGCTGGCCTCTGACCCGGGCTGCGGGAGGCACAGGATGGGAGCCAGCGGACCTGGCCCTGGAAAGCCGACTCCAGGGCCAACCTGCGGGGCCTGAGGGAGTTTGTCAGTAACCTGAGAGGGCCGGAAGACCCAGGTCCAGCTCCAGAATCCCCTGTTCATCGCCCTGTGTCACTCCCAGGGGACTGGGCGCCTGTGGCCTCAGCTGGCGTCCACGTCATCCCTCAGTGTCCTCCCCTGGGCCATCAGAGACAGAAGGGGGAGCGCTGCTCGCTTCGGCGAGGGTACAATGTTCCGTTGCCTCCCATCAAATTGCCAAGGGAAGCCATTTTCCTTTACATATGTCGCTCTCGGGTCTTTGTCCAGAAGCGGCCAGGTTGGCCTTCAGTGGTGGGGACCAGGACAACGCCTTCTGGGTAGAGGAGGCCTCACCGCCTCTCTGGCTTCCTTCCCTCCTGTTCTGGTGCCCCTCACACGCTGCTGCTGCCCCGAGCCCGCTCTCAGCATCTGTTCAGACCCAGACCCCAGGCTGGGTTTCGGGACACCCTCGTCGGGCCCCTCCATACACGCTGTTGTTTTTTTCAGTGTTTCCAAAAAATGTGTGCTGCAAACCACTGGGGAGCACACAGGATCCTCAAAGACCTGGATCCGCACAGCAAGAGAAGCATTTTCTTCTTAGATCCCCTCAGTCTCCAAGAGCCAGAGGGAGGACCGGATGCAGTGGTTCTTAACGCGCCCCTCACACCTGCGCCCCTTCACTGCGAGAGGAGGGCGAGCTCCCCAAGCGCACGTGGTGGCATCTGATCAGAATCCAAGAAGGGCTCCGTCTCCTTGCCTTTATTTTGCATAATCACCTTCTTCTTGTGGCAAGTGATTGTAGTTTTCCATTTATATTAGTGATATAGAATTTCCTTTAAATTTTTCATTTTAGAAAAAAATTATGAGCTGAATGAAACAAATAATGGAAAAAAACGCACCCTGGTGCATACCCAGTGTTTCCTCCAGGCCGGGCACCGTTCTGAGCAAGTCTAGTGGCCCTATGAGGTCTCTGCAGTTACTGTGACCACTTCACACAAGGCCACACAGCTTGAAGCCGTCAGAGACAGAAGCAAACTGAATCCATGTGGCGCTAGAACTTGTTCTGTGTGTCTCCACACTGCCTGGTCCGCAGATACTGCAGAGGCGAAGGAAAAGTGAAGTTGGAGAAACACTTGAAGCCTGGGCCTTCTCTGTCTCCGTCTCTGTCTCTGTCTCTGTCTCTCTCTGTCTTTGTGTCTGTCTCTGTCTGTCTTTCTGTCTCTCTCGTGACACAACACCCACTCGAACTGCCGGCTCTGGCTCTGTTTTCCGAATCTCGCAGTGACTGAACTGGGGAGGTGACACAGTGACTGCGAGCAAACGTCACCAGTAGGAGTGAGGTAGACCCCAGGGAGCCATACCTAGGGCTCACCCTCCAGGCAGCGCAGAAGACACGTTGGGGGTTCGGGGACCACGATCTCCCCTTCAGAAGGCGGCTCGGAAAGACCTGAAGCTCGGAAGCTGCTCTCCTTGCACGGCGGTCCTGCTGGGGAGAGGGGCAGCGGACGCTGAAGTGTGGGGATGGCCTTTCCCACCTCTGTAAATATTCCCAAGGCTGCCGAGGTGGTGGCCCAGTGTCTCCGTGCTCCAGGGCCGGGATTAGCTCGGTGGTGCCGCCGCCTCACAAGCGCAAGGACCTGAGTTCGATCCCCGCCAAACAAGAGCTGGGGAGTCGGCTCTCGCTTCGGCGTGGGCAGCACTGCAGTTGGAGCCCGAGCTCCCGGCAGCACCGCGCTGTCCTCCGCTCCTTTGCTCCTCCTTCCCCTGCACAGCCGCTCCTGTCCCTGCCCACTGTCACCCACAGGCTTCGCAGCAGCACCCCTGAGACTGCAGCCCCGAAGAACCAGGCCGCCCCGCCCCAGGCCAGGCCAGGCCACCCCTGGCAGTGGCAGCGTCTCCTTCCCTGCCGCTCCAGGACTCTGGAAAACACCTCCACACACTCCCGCGCCGTCCCCTTGGTAACCACCCTCCTTGGTCGTTCCAGGTGAAAAGCGCCACTGCTTCGACGTCGGCTACCCCAGCTACCTGTTCGAGAAGGAGGGCGAGCTGATGCAGACCCGCATGATGGACCAGGCCATCAATAACGCCATCAGCTACCTGGGCGCCGAGGCCCTGCGCCCCCTGGTGCAGACTCCGCCTGCGCCCCTGTCCTCCGAGATGGTCCCGGTCATCAGCAGCATGTACCCCATAGCCCTCACCCGGGCCGAGATGCCCAATGGTGGCGCCCAAGAGCTGGACAAGAAGAGCGTCCCCCTGCCGGAGAAGAGCCTGCCTTCTGAAAGAGGTCTGTCCCCCAACAACAGCGGCCACGACTCCACGGACACCGACAGCAACCACGAGGAACGCCAGAACCACCTGTACCTGCAGAATCACACCGTCCTACCCCGGGCCCGCAACGGGGTGCCGCTCCTGAAGGAGGCGCCCCGGGCCTATGAACTCCTCAAGCCGCCTCCCCTCTGCCCGAGAGACTCGGTCAAGGTGATCAGCAAAGACGGGGAGGTGGCAGATGTGTTCCGGTGCGACCACTGCCGCGTGCTCTTCCTGGATTACGTGATGTTCACCATTCACATGGGCTGCCACGGCTTCCGCGACCCCTTTGAGTGTAACATGTGTGGCTACCGGAGCCAGGATCGGTACGAGTTCTCGTCCCACATAGCTAGAGGCGAGCACAGAGCCATGCTCAAGTAGAGCGCGCCGGCGGGTGATGTGCTCTTGAGAAACTGAAAACCCCCATCGATTGCTGCCGAGTCTGCGATCCTGTCCATGCTGCACTTAGTATGCCAGGGTCTGAGGCAGAGGAACACCGTGCATTCAGAAGTGTTTGGTTGCTACTTTGTTTGAATTTTATGGAATTTAAAAGACCAAAGAAGTATTTAGTCATTACATTTTTTTCTTTCTTTCTTTCTTTTTTTTTTTGAGACAGAGTCTCACTATTTAGTGAGGCTGGTCTCAAACTCACAGGGATCCTCCTGTCTCAGCCTCCTGAGTGCTGGGAGTACAGGTGTGCATCACCATACCTGGCTTAGTCCTTCCCTTTGGTGGCAATAGAAGAGTTGAAGCAGTTTCCCAGTTTCTCAAATCCAAAGCTTTCACACTGAGCTATAGCCCCAGCCCTAAATTTTTTTATTTTGACACGGAATCTTGCTAAGTCACTGAATTGGCTGTGCTAGACTTGAACTTGAGATCCTCCTGCCTCGGCCTGCCAGGGTGCTGGGATTACAGGTGTGTGCACTGTGACACCCAGAAGAACACATCTTTTAATCTTTCTGTTTTCAAAAGAGGCTTCCAGTGTTTTCCATTTTGGGGGACCTCGTGCTGGGCAACAACCTTTCTGAGGTCATTGGCTGCATGGGGAAGGCCGTGTGGATCCCACGCCCAGCTCCACAAAGAGAAGAGCTGCCCAGAAGCCGTGCCCATCCCCACCTGGCGCCAGGCTGGCTTTTCTGTTATCGTTGGTCCGCGTTTGCAGCCTGTCACAGCCCTCCACACGTCTCGGCCCCTTCCCGTCCCCTTTTCCCTCCATCTCCCGAGCCCCTTCACAATTGAGAAAATCTGCAGTCAGGAACAGAACAGCCCCAAGCGAAGTGTCCATCCCGACCCGCGAGGCCCTGTCCTCAGAGGTTGGCACCACTGCTGTCACACAAAACAGGGAAGCCGCAGAACCGAGGCAGTCAGCCCCGCAGGGAGCCTGGGCTGAGGTGCGCAGGGGCTCGAAGAGTGGGCCGGACTGCGGTGCCCGGCATCTTCGGAAGCCAGGAGCCCTCCGTGCCCTGGGGACCCTGGCCACCTGGCTGACCCCGGTCCTGAACTGCTTTTTTGTTCCCACGCCAGCAGTGGATCCAGTCGGCGGCTTCTGTTTTCCAGGACGGGATTCTTGGAGCGCAGGACCCTGGACCGTGTGGTCTTGCCGAGGGCAGCGGACAGAGCTGCGTCTGCCCGAGTTGCTGTGGCCCCACCGCCAACAGTGCCCAGGGCTCTCTGGGCTCTGCTGGACTCTCGCGCCCAGATGGGCAGTGCCTCTCACAATCGTCTCCCTCTCTGGAGCTCAGATCCTCGGGTGCTCTCCCCTTGCCGACCCACTCTTGTCTGAGTGAAGAGGGAGGACCGGGAGGTGCGGCTCTCCCGGCTGTCTGATGCCGGTCTCGTACCTGCTCCGACCCCGTGACTGAAGCAGCCAGGAGCAGGGGGTCCGGATACTCAGCAGCCAAGAGGTGCACACTGGGACAGGACCGTGACCGTGCTCCGTGCCATCTGCCTTGCTGAGGAAAAGCCATTGTGTTTTTGCCAGGAAAACTTTTGTTCTGGTTTCAGACATCGCTTTTGAAGTGTGCTGCTTTCTTCCCCTGTCCCCGTTAGGATGTATAGTCATGACAGTGTGTTCTGAATAAATTGGGCAGAATTCTTCTCGCTGGTTGTCTGATGGACTGTGGCTCATCCAGCGGTCTGTTGGCTACTTCTAGACTTGTGCTTTTGCCAGTGGGCCTTCGCGTGTGTTCGGGAGGCCAGAGGGTAGCGCCACTGAAGTCCCCTCCCTGGGTGTTGGCTGATGTGTCTGGGAAGAGCACGCCGATACAGGCAACAGGGTCACCTGTGACGACAGGCGGGGCGTTTTCCAAATGGCGCAGGCTCTGTAGCACTCACTGGAGCATTAGGAGGCTCCGAAGAGATACGGAGGCTACAGCTGTGACGAACGGGGTAAAGCAAGGCATGAAAGAATCTGTGTGAGGCGCCACCCTGAGCTTAGGGGGAATAGGAGATCCAAACACAATGAATGGTACTTGCTTATGTTTTTAAAAAGAAATAATCGAAAGGGAAGCCACACTCTGAAGAAAATTGTAATGGGTAGGGTGAGGGGGTGGGACAAGGGTGGAAGCAAGACCCGTTTGAGAATATCTTGTGTGATAGTTTGGTTGGGGCCCTATAAATGTTTAACATGTTTAAAATAGAAAACAAGCCAGGGGTGGGGGTGCACGCCTGCAATCCCAGCACTCAGGAGGCTGAGGCAGGAGGATCGCCACCAAGCCCAAAGCCAGACTTGGCTACACAGTGAGTTCAAGGCCAGCCTAACACTACATAATGAGACCTGACTCAAAAAAATAAATAAATAAAATACAAAAGAAAATTTAAAAGCCATTCCTAAAATGGAAAAACTGAAATAAATCTTTTCATTTGTTCGTTTTTTAAAATGCCATCAAATGGGCCTTATGCTTGTCCTTTTACCCTCCCATCACCACGCAGTGTGAGCCGCATCAGCCAAAGCTGGGGTCTGGGGGAGAAATTCCACACCCCGGTCACCTTGCACAGGCTGGGTGGTCCTGGAAGCTGTCCTCAGAGGATGAAGTCATCTGTCACCCTGGAGACGCCCAGCTGCTGCCTCACGGTCCTGCTTCCTCCAGAGTGGTGGAGAGACCCAAAACACTGCGCGTCTTCCCCTTCCCACAGACGAGGACTCAGACAAACAAGTGTGTTGTTCAGATCACAGGGCGAGCAGAGGGATAACTCTTAATAGTAGGTTCTCTGTGATCAAGCGAGTGTGAGCTTCCATACAAACCCTTTTTGTTTCTCAGTCTCTCTGTAACTGAGGTTGGTGATCCTCTTGCCTCAGCCTCCCAAGTGCTGGGATTACACCCCTCCCGGCTTTCCGCATTTTAAGTGGAGCTCCAGCACTGCCTGAACATTCCTGAAAGTCTACTGTCAACCTGCAGATGTCTCTGTCCTCCTTGTCACTACTGATGAGCACCGAGCTATGGAGAAGTCCTGTGACCATTCATCAGTCCCACACTGGCTCAGGGTCCCAAAGCCTGTCTGCTATTTCTCTGCCCCTAAGTACTGGGTAAGTTTGACCAAAGTACTGAGCCCCTAAAGCTAAGTTTCCTTGCCCCTAAAATGAGTTGGACGGTCCCTCCCAGATTTACATTTCCGTGTGATCGTGCAGCAACCACGAATTCTTTTCTAAACCTTTACTGTCTGGGTACTAAGCAGAAGCGTGTATGTGTGACAGTGTTTCACATTTCTTTGGTGTGAAAATGTTAGTGTGTTAAGTTTTTCCTTTAACCACTGAGTCGTGAATCCGAAGACGGTCTAGAGGAACAAAAAACAGGAAGGTATTTTGATCTTGCCCAAATGTATGCTCACATTGGCACCTGCAGCCACTTCCAACCCCTTTTTTGTTTCCTTATTTCTTCCTTTTCTCTCTTCTTTTTTTGGGGGGAGGTTGAGACAGGGCCCTGTGGAGCCCAGGCTGGAAATTCCTATTTACAAGCCAAGAGCCAGCTTTATGAACGGGTCTACCAGAGGCAAATTCCCAAATTCCCAGTAGATTCACGATTCATTTCCACAGGGCTTACGCATCAGGCTCTCACTCGTGACGCTCATGCTGCCAGTGATTAACATGTCCCGCCTCGGGCCAGGGATTTAGCTCAGTGGTCCTGCTGCCTGCCTCACAAGTGCAAGGTTCCGAGTTCGATCCGGGTGCAAAAAAAAAACAAAAAAACATGTCCTGACTCACACCACACACATGGCCTCTCTCCTTGGTAGCACGGTGTGTGTGGGAGGAAAGGTCTTCATGAAATCCGGGGCAGCTGTCTCAATATGCTCCCGCCTCCAGCCACGAGCTCGGTACCGGCCGAGGCATCTCTTCAGGCGCCCCTGGAAACAGGCGCTGCCCACGTGTGACTTGAACCGCCACAGGCCTGCTGACTTCCTGGGGATGAGGGTTGGGGAGCAGGGGCAGCAGGGAGAACCCAGGGGACAGGGAGCATCCCCGCCCGCCAGGGTTGGAGCCTGCGGAAGAGGCCACCTAGTCCGTCCTGCGATGGTGAACGGAGGCCCCTTCTGCCACCCTAGGGTGCCCCATCAGCCCTCCCTCGTCCTGTGACAACAGACCTGTCGAGTGACCTCCATTGTCCCGAGGCCAGCTTCTGTGCCAGGTGACCGACCACAAAGCCCACACCTTCACGTTGGATCTTGAGCCCCGTCGCCTCCAGAGAGAACACACGGGGCGGCTCCTGCCAGGCGTGGTGCGCACACCTGTCACTTCAGCGCTCAGGAGACTGAGGCAGGAGGATCACAAGTTCAAGGCCAGCCTGGACTACATAGCGAGACCTCGTCTCCAAACACGCGCGCGCACACACGCACACACACATCCCACACTCTTAAATCCCGCCGCTGAACCCAGTACATGCCGTGGTCACCACCGCACAGGGAACACTTCCTCGCTGCAGGGCCTGCCGCCCAGCGCCGACCTCAGGCCACACGCCTGCCGGGCCCGCCTCACCTCGCTTCCTTTCCCACCAGCCCCCCCGCAGGCAGGGTCCCCCCACACACCCAGGAGACCACAATGGGGGGCCAAGCAAACCCACAAAAGCTCCCTCCCAGCCAAGGTGCAGAGCTGGGGTGAGGGGAGGAGGGAAGAGAGCCCGCGGCCTCCGCACCCCCTGTGCCCGTCCGAGGGGGCACACAAGCAGGGAGCCGAGCGGCAGCCCCTGGAGCCTCGGGCCACGGGGCCCTCCTGAGAGTTCATCCTGCACTTGTGCCCCTTCCTGAGCTGTTCCCGACTCACTTCTAACCTCAGCAGTGACAAAATGTCTCACTCTTTAAGTGTAATGCCCAGAGCGAAATTGACCTTGGCTTTCTTTTGCAAAAACAAATGTGGAAAGACACAAAATCTTGGTTAAAACATCATGGTATTAACAAACCTCACATGGACAAAAAGTGTTCAAGAGGCTTCTGTACCAGTCTTTATCCTCAGCTGCCTCTCTCCCTCTGGTGAGTGGAAGGTTTCAAATGTTCCAAGGGAACAGCAGGACCTCTGGGCTCCGTGACAAAGCACTCAGCTAGGAAGGCTCTGGGTTCCACCCCAGCACCAAAGCAGTACTCCGAGACGTATCCCAGGACTCCCAGGAGAA